AGTTCCCATACCAGCTTTGTGATATGTTTATTCAAAGCCTGAGCCGCAGATGCATCAGAAAGCATTCACCGGTTCTGGCAGGGATTTCATGTAGTACAACGTGCCTTGTAAACATATGCTGATGCTGCTTCAGAAGACTGCTATTCCTCCTTTACATTTCACGACATACTGAATGAACTGGAACATGCATGGGGGTGAGGGGTTAATTAAGTGCCAAGAAATATCAAGATCCTACCTACATTCTTTTTAAAATATAAAACCTCAACACCTTAAAAAGACTACATATTTGACAATAACTTTTTAATTATTGACACAGTGAACTGGATATCATCTATGATTTCTTGGCTGACAGAATCAAAAAATAAAAGAGGATATGAGAATGTCATGTTTTTATGACATAACAATAAACACAAAAGAAAGAGAGAAAGTCTAGGCTGGGATATTAACATGTGATTCCATATTTAAGGCCTTATTTACAGGAGTAAATTTTACTAAATTCAGAAATCAATTTAAGAGTTTCTTATGTCAATTTAGTGTAATCTGAATCTGATGACATAAAACACTCAAATCAATTAAAGTCTACACAGGGGTTGCACTGATCTAACTAAATTGGTATAACTTTGGTGAAACTACAATGTATGGATAGGATCTAACACAAGTTGGGGAAGAAGTATTATTGGGTCAGAAATGTAGTTTTCACCTCAGAGATGGCTGTAATCACCAAGGAAATGGAGATCAGACATTGAGATCAAACACAGCAAATCCCTCAGGGTATGTCTTCAATGCAAAGTTATCCAGGCTCTTATTCGGGTGTTGCCCCTAACCCCCATCCTGTATATACACAAAAACCTGACCCAAGTTTAGTGTTTTCCCAGGCTAGCTAGCTTATGTGGGGCTAAAGGCTGGGTGAGGTTATTACTCAGGCTGCTAACCCAGCCACTTTGCAGTGAGGATGTGGCTAAACTACTGGAGTGCTGATAGTCCTCCAGTGCCTTCCCATAATTCCTCCACATGCCCAGAAGGACAGACAAGTTGTCCCGTAATTTACTGGAAAGAATCACAGAGTGGCTTAGCTTAATGCAGCAGCACAAAGAACCATGGGATATGCCCCCAGAACTCCTAGCGACACACATATGGGTGAGTACAGCACCAGTGAGGACACAGTAGTGTGGGTATGGCTCCTCACAGCCGGGGTAGGCTAACCCAGGGTGCAACCACCTAGGTTAACTCCGCAATGAAGGCATATCCGCAGAGGCAGGAATTTTCTAATGGTCTGAGCATTTAATTTCTCCTGCAAATAAGGTTTTTGTCTGCCTACCAGAGGCTGGGTGTAGTTTACTACTGTTTAGCTCCAATTTAATTTTAAACTCCATTTTCCAACAAACTTGTTTTCATTTAATATATTTTAGGTCGTAAATTATTCTTGGGATTTTCACTGTGGTCCATTCTCAAAGACCAGGAAGAGGAGTTTCTGACCTCTGGTGAGAGGCAGAAAGGCACTGAATCTGAGACCATGTCTACACTACAGGTGTTACAGTGGCACAGATATGCCACTGCAGCTATGCCACTAGTGCCATAGCTTAGACACATCCTATAGTGATGGAAGGGGTTTTTCTGTGTGAATTTTTCACATCACTGAGTGCCATAGGTATATGTTGACCTCAGGCTGGGAAGACAGATGCACTGGGAGAGAGAGGTGGCTACTAGAAACAAGAAACCATCAGTAACAATTTTTTGTGGATTTTTGCCTTTTTTATCTTGAAATACATCACTACCTCTTCCACAGCCAGAAGCAGTTTAAATGGTCATTGCTCTATGTGTCTATGGTGTTAAATGGTATCGTACGGAGACAAGCTCCATTAGTCTTTTGGTTTATCAGTTGCTGTCATCTCCATCAGTGCAAATGGGATCCACAATAGGAAATCCAGACCTCTGGCATCACACAGTCACATTATTCAAAGTATTCTCTAATCATAGGGAAACCAATGAAAAGAAAGGACGAGAGTAGCTAAATTTGTCTTTAAAAAAAAAATACAAAAAAGTATCAAAAATCAAGCTTGGACTTGGACTTTCAGAAAGTCTTTGAAAAGGTCCCTCACCAAAGGCTCTTAAGCAAACTAAGCAGTGATGGGATAAGAGGGAAAGTCCTATGACAGATCAATAACAGGTTTAAAAGATAGGAAACAAAAGGGTAGGAATAAATGGCCAGCTTTCAAAATGGAGAGAGGTAAATAGCAGTGTTACCCGGGTATCTGGGCTAGAACCAGTGTTGTTCAACATATTAATAAATGATCTGGACAAAGGGGTAAAACAGTGAGGTGGCAAAGTTTGTAGACAATACAAAACTACTTCAAGACAGCCTAAATCCAAAGCAGACTAGAAAGACTTAAAAAGGGCAACAAAATGGCAAATGAAATTCACTATTGATAAGTGTAAAGTAATGCACATTGGAAAACATAATCCCAACCATATATACAAAATGATGGGGTCTAAATTAGCTGTTACCACTCAAGAAAGATCTTGGAGCATTGTGGATAGTTCTCTGAAAATATCCGCTCAACATGCAGTGGCAGTCAAAAAAGCAAACAGAATGTTAAGAACCATCAGGAAAGGGATAGATAAAAAAACAGAAAATATCATAATGCCACAATCTAAATCCTTGGTACACCCACCAATTGAATACTGGGTGCAGTTCTGGTCACCCCATCTTGAAAAAGATATATTAGAATGGGAAAAGGTACAGAGAAGGCCAACAAAAATGATCCGGGTTATGGAATAGCTTCCATATGAGCTATTCCATAACCCTAAGGAGAGACTAAAAAGACTAGGACTTTTCAACTTGTAAAAGAGGCAACTAAGGGGGGATATCATAGAAGATTATAAAATCATAAATGGCATGGAGAAAATGAATAAGGAAGTGTTATTTACCCCTTCACATAAAACAAGAACCAGGGGTCACCCAATGAAATTAATAGGCAGCCAGTTTAAAACAAACATAAGGAAGTACTTCTTCACACAATGTACAGTCAACTTGTAGAACTCATTGGCAGCGGATGTTGTGAAGGTCAAAACTATAACTGGGTTAAAAAAAGAATTAGATACAATCATGGTGGATAGGTCCACCAATGGCTATTAACAAAGATGGTCAGGGATACAATCCCATGCTCTGGGCTTGCAGTCCCTAAATTTCTGACTGCCAGATACTGGGACTGGATGACAGGGGATGGATCACTTGATGGTTGCCCTGTTCTGCTCATTCCCTTTGAAGAATCTGGCACTGGTCACTGTTGGATGAGAGGATACTGGGCTAGGTGGACCATTGGTCTGACCCAGTATGGCCATTCTTATGTTCTTAAGTGGACAAAAATTATCCTTCATGCAACTACCCTGAAGTCAGTAGTTCAACAAGGGATGCAGTTGGCTTGTAATTATTAAGACACCAAAGTAATATGAACACCGCAGAAACAACTGTGAAGTCAATCTTTTCTCTCTTCCCTTAAGCTTTTGAGGAGAAAGTGGGCTGAGAGCTGCAGTGGTTATTTACATGTGCATTCTTTTTGTATTATTTTGTGTATTTTATCCAATGGAATAGCTCAAAGTAGCTGTACATGTAATGAATGAATGAATTAATTAATCAATGAATCAGCACTATAACTTTGGCACACATTTTGCTGAAGCAAAGTAATGAGACCGGAGTTTTATGTAGTTTGGAGCCAAAAGTATACCACCAGAGGTACTGGATAATCCAGACCCTACAGAACCAGCTACTCTTTTGGTATGTAAGGAAGAAAGTACCTGTTGCTGAAGATGCTGAATGTCAATTCCACTTACTTCACTACTTATTTGATAAAACCTCTCTCCATCATCTCTGTTTTCCTCTCATTTTGTAAAATCAGCCTTTGTACCTGCGTCCACATTTAACTTCACTGAAGCCTACAGAACTTTGCTGCTCACCATACTTCTACTTCCATACAACTCATTGTTTAGAAGGTAAAAAAGCTCGCATGACTTTCACCTGAAAATCTGGCTTTTTTTTTTCTTCAATACTAACAAAACTCCTCTCCTTGAGATAAGTAGCTTACCGTTCCTGAAATGGGGCTTCTTATTCCACATTTCTAATCATTTGCATGCTGCTTAAAGATTGAAGGCTAGATTACGTCTTAAAGACCCAGTTATATGTTGGCAGGTTGGGGCCCACTTTGCAGAAGGATCCTCAGAAAGACTCAGCCAGAATTCCTCCTGAGACTTGGGGGAAGGACACACTGCAGCCTTAGCTCTACCACCCATTAAAAATGTAGGCTGCATGTGTTCCTCTTGAGCCTGGCCAGTTACATTGGATATGGTCCTCATCTCACTCTGCCCCTTTAAAGAATCCAGTACTGTTGGCATTGTAGCATATAACGGGGGGCTTCACTCACTAGTCACAATGCGGCTAGCCTTTTCACAAGTGGTGTAGGTAGAAGGGGGAAAGCTCATTACATTCCATCCCCCAACCCATGCAGCACAAGTTACAGTCTGAACATAATCTAATAAATGCCAGAATCAGCTCAAACTTTGTTAATAGATGTAAAACAGGCTTATGGAACACATTAGCTTCCTGACAAACAACGTTAGTACAGTACACATACAGTGCAGAAGAAGGCCAAAACCAAACAATTAGGGACTCGGACAGCATTTTCAAAAGCACTGACACCACTTAGGAGCCCAAATCCCATTGACTTTCAAATGGTCTTTCCTCTTAGGTGCTTTGGAAAATGGGACTTAGCTACTTCAGAAATTTTTGTACTAAATCTATTCTACAGATTGGAACACAAAACAGAATTATTCTTCTTTCCTAATGGTCACAATGGTAACCATATCTTAACACAGTGGATTTGTAAACTGAATTTCTGATAACATGTTATGCTGAGGGAGTGGCCGGAAGATCAGAATCTTAAAAAAATGTGAAGAGAGAGTTTAAAAAAAGGAAGTGTAGTAAACATTAGTAAATAAAAACGTCTGGAAGCTCCAGTAGGCTTCCTTATGTCAGCTGTTTAGGATGATACCAGAAAAACCACCTTTAAAGCCTGAAGTCAAGAGAAGGTAAGAGTCAAGTATAAAGTGAATGTTTTCTTAAATACAGCATTTTAATATATTTTGAAATTTATTAGAAGAGGGAACCAATGGGACCTGCAGTGTGGTAGAGGGCAGCTGAAAGAGTGATTGAAGTAGTCAACTATTGTGTGTCACACACAGTAAGGCACCATCAGAGATTAAACTATCGTACTGCTAGTGCCTTGTGTGCACTGCTATAGTTAAGGAACCCCCTGTATTTCTTTACAAATTACCAGTCTTCAGAGGGTTTGTATTTTAAATCAGTCATTTTTAATTACGCTGGACAGGAAAACCTGTCCAACAAGTGCTGTGTGCGGATGCAGTTAACAGTTAACACAGTTAACTCCCATGTTATTAGCATGCCATTTTAAAGTATTATTATAGGACACCAATAAAATAGATTCTTTTTTGATTATGGGATTTTTTGCGGGGGTGGGTGGGTTTTTTGTTGCCATTTTATATGCTCTAGTGAGCCGTAGCTTCTGGAGTTGAAAAATCTGGGGACGAGGTTAGCAGTAGAATAAATGCACTGTTGTTTTATTTAGACACATCTGTAGTTAAGAAGCTACCCCATATTTCATAATTTTTTACTAAGCAACATTGTAGAAATACTGGCCATGTGCATTTGTAAATCCATTTACAATATCTACAGGTTCTCTTACTGGTAACTCTCTCAGATAACTATGCAATGCGAACATGAAACATGCAGATCAAACCTACAAGAATAAGTGGGGAAAAAATGTGAGTAAGCTGTTTTGTACCATTCACAATAAGCAAGTGCACAGACAAAAGGTCTTTTTCAAAATAGCCAAAAATACTGACTTTGGGGTTTCTAAAGTAAGATTCCAGTTTAGAACGAGGAACTGAAAGTTTGCAATATAGCACCTTAAAAACGACACACTTTTTGATGTCTCTCTACCTATTTCTGATGAAAGATTTAGTAATCAGAGTATTGTACTGGTGTCAGCTAAGCCGTCATTATTTTCAGTGATGGTATAGTTATTACAGTAGATTTACAGTACTAGTACATTACGGAGGATCTTAAATTAATGAAAATTAAACTGCAATTAACAGAATTAAACTACTTTGCTAGCATTATCTCTATTCTGTATGTGTGCATGAGAACGTGGGCACTTACCCTCATAGGTCCCTCCTGCACTGAGCAACTTGCAGGTGGATCTGTGTACCCACATGGAGCTCCACTGACTTCAATGAGGTGTCAGTGGGCACAGAGGTATGCCTGCTGTTCTGAGCACTCAAGCAGTATCATGACCTGTTTCAAACCTGAAACAGTCTGTGTAGGCAAAATGGTTCACAAGTAGGGCAAAGGAAAACTAGCAAGTAGAAAAGGTGCATTTTAAAGAGCAGATAAATTGAATTAAAAGTTCATTACTACAATACATAAAGGCAGAAGTCTCCTTGTTAGTAGATTCTACAGTTAAATTTAAGTTTGTAACATCTTTGTGCTACTAACCTGAAAAGGTCCCCAAATTTGCTTCTCAGGTGGCTACATGACACATAGAGATCATAGAGGTAAGCTAAAATACATCTTTCTGGAGAAGAACATTCTGATGGATTAACAACATGCTTGACAACACCACATAATCTGGAGGGAAAAAAAATCCGAGATTAATTCCAACTCAGACTTTTGAAAACTTATTAACTGCCCATTGCACCTTGAATGGTCTCTTGTAAAGTGTTAACTTCTTGTCTTAACCACCTGTTCCACCTTGCACTTAGCTGTGACTCTCTGAGTACCTTTCCCAGACCTAAAGAAGAGCTCTGCATAAGCTTGAAAGCTTGCCCTCTCTCACCAAACAAATTTGGTCCAATAAAAGATATTACCTCACCCACCTTGACTCTCTCATACCTAACTATACATTTTAATATTATAAAATTAACATACCCATGCCAATAACTAGACAATGGTCTATGTCCATAGAAAAGTCTAAGTGAATGCATTCTCAACAGGTATAAAGGGTTTCACCTGAAACCTAGTGTCACAATTTTAAAATGAAAATAGTTAAGTGTTCACAGTATTTTACACATATGGGCCACAATCCTGCAGTGAATTACATACAAGGGAATTCCTACCGACATCAAGAGGGCTCCACACAGGCCACAGAGGTCTGCTCAAACAGAGCTCATTGCACAATCAGGGCCATGAAAAACAGATCAAAGATTTAGAGCCCTGTTCCCTAATAATAATGATACAAAAGTGTGCAACAATTACTAACCTAGCACAGCATAATCTTAATGTGCAAAGAGAAGGACTAAGCATTTCACATTTTAATTGGGCTTTGCACCAATGGAATTCAGTTTTTAGCTAATATCACTGTAACAGTACATGGAAGCATACATTTCATATGTTATTTGGCTCTCCCTGCGTCTACAGTGATTGTCAATAAGGCACTGTTGAGGAAGGAAGACCACAGTATCCTCTGCATCAATGATTTTATACCGGGACAGTTACCTACTGTTCGCCCTTTTTTGTCACACTTGAGAGGCCAGTGTGTTCTATGCCCACCTGTCATTATTTACAGTGTTAGCTTTTGGGGGCAAAGACTGTCCTATCTGATGTTTGTATACTGCCCAACACAGTGGAACACTTGGGAACTTACTGTAACACAAAGCAAAAACAACAACAGTATGTTACCTTTGAGTGAACCATTCTGTAACTACCCACAGCTAATAGGACAGATAACCACTTCAGATCTTAAAGAATATTTAAAACCAGTTTAGCTAAATCAGTGCAAAAATCTACAGAGAAACGATTGCATTGTGTATAAATAATTTTAAAAAAATTAGTTAAACTAATGTAAAATCCTTATTTCAGTGTAAAAGTAGGTTATATCAAGTTAGCTTAAGTCAATTCCTCAATGATTTAAGCTTAATCGTAATAAACCATTCAAACTGAATTTTTGCACTAGTTTAAATGGTTTTTGAATGATTTATATGCAATGCAATGTATACAGCTGACATATTTGAATATATTCTTAGTTTAATTATGCATATTATAAACAAACATAGAAAAAATACAGCAGCTACAAACCCTTCAAAAACTTGTGCAGTCTGCTCTGGATTTAAAATTAGGCAGGCATGGTAACGCCGTAAAACAGCAACAATGCACACACATAATCCTGTGGTGTAACTTCCTGCCAGGCTGGATGACTTCAGCAGCAGTTCTGCTTCCACAACACTCAGTTCATTTAACAGCTAAAGTATAAGATAAATACTGAACTGAATATCTTTTTCCAAATTAAGCTATACAAAACATTTCCAAGAATCATAAATGAGAAAAGATACTGAAACATCATACAATAACATGCTAAAATTCATTGTTATTTAATAAGTTAGAAGTCAAGAAGGAAGTACTGAAACAGTACAAAAAACACACACACAAAGAATTTTTCTTCACAGATGTAGAAAGTTTCTTGTGTCTAGACAACTGTTGCATAAGACAGAGAAGTTCTTTAGATTAAAATAGACATTGAAACCATATTAAATAAGACATTCTGGACTAAGATGTTCTGGAATTGCTATTTTTCAAAAACTACAGCACATTTCAAAGACAATTGGAATACATTCTCCAATTATTAAGAAAAAATAAAAGTACAGTTGCAAACAAAAGGCTCTTATATAGCGAGTTTGATCCATAGATCTCAAAGGACTGCAAAAGGGAAGTTAAGCATTGGCAGGCCCACTTTACAGGTAGGGAAATTGAAGCATGGGTAGGTTAAGTGATTTGCACAAAGTCACAAATCTAGAACCCAGATCTCCTAAAAACCAGGACAGGTCCTATCCATGGGACACATGCCAGTCAGATATATGTTTAATATCAAGGTAATAATTTCATATTTATGATGTGAGTGGAAAAAAATCTACTCTAACACCACAGAATGTTTATTTGTACAGCATGTCACTGTTCTGCATGTGACTTTGTTATACAAACGACAAGCCTATTTGTTAGACGCATACCATTTATGGAAACATCACATTGTAGCTTTGTCCTGACATACATAAGAACAAAGCAATCACTTTGTTACCTGTATAGCAAAGTCAATAAGCCCATTGATATTGAGTGCTGGCTCCATAAGATCAAAGATAAGCTGTATGTGGTGAGCCAAAGGAAGATGGTATGATGTACCTGAAGCAAAGCTAGTTATTTGTTCTAGAACATTACTCGAGATCTGTGAAAATGAAAAACATCTGTGTATTAAAACATTATAACAACTGAGTATTTCTCTTCCTAAATATTAACACTTCTAACATCAATTTAGGTAAGTGATTTTCGATAATTGTTCACCAAAGCATCAGATAACAAAAGCACCTTACATGCCAATGCTCTAGTAACTGATAACTGAGGAAAGGTTTTTTACTTACTGGTTTACTACAATGTATATTCAGTTCTGACTCAGTTTTGTGTTCTATGCCAGCAAAAACAAGACAAAAAATTTGCCTTGTCACCTAAATGGATCAACTTATTCTTAATTTTTGCAATTTCATTTCTATTATTTGTGAGATGTTTTAAAAATGTAATTTGTAGTGTTGAATCCGTGTTTAAATCTTTAGGAATTCTGACCATTTTAAAATTCATACTTATTTTGTTGATCATTAGGATTAATTGCTAAGATGCTTTACTAACAAAAATCAATCACAAAACATATTTAGCAAAATCATCCAAAAAACTTCTCATGAATGTTCTATACAAGATTTTTAAATCTATTGAATTTATGCCCACTTTTCTTTTATGATTTGTTTTCGGTGCCGATCTCAAAAATATATTTAAAGGAAACATTACTGGCATTAATGGCATTTTTATAATGATAATTAGCACTAATCACTTTATCGCTAAATGTTGAAAGTCTATGTTGACAAACTAGCATGTTTTGAATGGAAACAAATTTGCAGTTCTTGATAAAAGTCTCTCTGTGGAAAGTCCACGTGTAATTTAAAACAATTCACACATTATTTGTGTTTTGTAGTTATTTACTAAAGTAGCTTTGATAGCAGAAGCAAAAATAAGCGAAAATGTTTAAATCCTACAAAAAAATTTAAATCAAGTGAAGATTTAATCTCTCACTCTCTCTAGCTCTCTCTCACACACACATTAAACAGAAACATGGAAAAGATTTCACCATCTTTCATGAAAAAAGTTAATGATAATTTGCGCCCTAGACTGATGAGTGGCATACTGCACAAAACTGATGAACTGAAAAGAAGCATTTAATTTAGTAATGAGCAATAAATACATTGCAGTCAATTAATAATCTTTGCATAGAGATAGCTGAATATTATAGTGATAGTTCCAAATATTTCATATGTACTGTACAATATTCATGACATTAGTAATAGCTTTGCTAACATCTTGCCAGTACAAAATAAACAATTTGGAGAAGGTATTTAAAAATATCGAGGGAGTATTTCACTTGCCTTTAAAGTACTAGTGCATTAAAAATTAATACTATGTATGGATCAGATTTTTTTATTATAGTTTTCTTCCTACTTGATATGTAAAGAGTGCGACTTAAATGGCTACAATGTTATGCACAGGAAGTACCTGAGATGTCACCTGATGCTGATCGAAATAGGACAGCTGCTGCAGTTTTGTGAACATTGTCTCCAGAGTTGGAAATACTTCTTGTTTGTTCTTCCTGGCTTTTTGCCCTTCATCCCCAACTTAACAGATAAATATAAAATGACCAAAATAATGTTTTAACAGAGCCCATGTAGTTTTGCAT